ATAGAATACAAATATATATTGATATAGATAATAGTAATAACAATGTAGAATTTATATATAATTTATTATTATTGTTAATAATAAGAATAAGAATAATAAGTGTATACATAATAATAACTATTATTAGTATATAATTAGTATATAATATACAAATACATAAAAAATATACACAAGAATATTAATATAATGTCTAGATGTTGTTATTAATATTATTATTATATAAAATAGCGTGCTTGCATATTTAATAATAATGTTTACTATTTAACTATTCATAATTATAAGTATTATTATTATATTTAATAATTAAATTATTATTATTTTAACTTTTATTATTATTAATAGAATACAAATATATATTGATATAGATAATAGTAATAACAATGTAGAATTTATATATAATTTATTATTATTGTTAATAATAAGAATAAGAATAATAAGTGTATACATAATAATAACTATTATTAGTATATAATTAGTATATAATATACAAATACATAAAAAATATACACAAGAATATTAATATAATGTCTAGATGTTGTTATTAATATTATTATATAAAATAGCGTGCTTGCATATTTAGTAATAATGTTTACTATTTAACTATTCATAATTATAAGTATTATTATTATATTTAATAATTAAATTATTATTATTTTAACTTTTATTATTATTATTTAGATTTTATTATCATTGTTATTACTGTCATTGTTGGTTTTTATTATTACTATAAAAAGTTCCGATGCAGAGCAGTAATTGAGTGCTGAAGTTTCTCTGTGTGAACCGCACCGATCCGGTGTACGAGACGCTGCGTATCGGTGTCATTATGGCCAACAAGGAGCGCAAGAAAGCGCCAGAAGACAAGAAGAACGTGAGCATAAAAACACATTCAGAAAAAGACATACAAATATACAAATCCATAAGAGACTAGGATCAAATTCATATATTTCTATGACCTGTAAACACTTGTGTATTGTATGTTCTTCACAATATTTTCTGCTCAATTTTACCAGATGATGATGGAGGAAGAGGAGATGCAGCCGAAAGCAGAGGAAGCTGCTGAAGAGGAAAGTACAGAACCAGTGATTAGGATTTTAAAGGGAAATACACTCACGTTTACATGTTCCTGTCAGGTTCTGCGAGATTCATCTTCATGCTGATCTGTAATTAATTGCCAAATAGAGAAGATGTAGATCAAGTTCTTCCTCTTAAATCAGATGTTTCTCATCTTTATTCTCCGTCCAGCAAATCAAGAAGGAGAAAAGAAAGACGATGATGATGGTGATGGTGGTGGTGGTGATGATGATGACGGATTTTAAAGGGAAATACACTCACGTTTACATGTTCCTGTCAGGTTCTGCGAGATTCATCTTCATGCTGATCTGTAATTAATTGCCAAATAGAGAAGATGTAGATCAAGTTCTTCCTCTTAAATCAGATGTTTCTCATCTTTATTCTCCGTCCAGCAAATCAAGAATTAGAAAAGAAAGACGATGATGATGGTGATTGTGGTGGTGGTGATGATGATGATGGTAGTGGTGGTGATGATGATGATGATGGTGATGATGGTGGTGATGGTAGTGGTGGTGAGATGGTGGTGGTGATGATGATGATTATGATGACGGTGATGATGGTGGTGATGGTAGTGGTGGTGATGGTGGTGATGATGATGATGACGGTGATGGTGGTGGTGATGTTTCTAAGATGGAAGAATGCTGTTTTTGTAACATGGGAAATATGATTTTCAAAATGGTGGTGATGATGATGATGGTGATGATGATGATGGTGGTGGTGGTGATGATGATGGTGGTGATGATGATGAAGATGGTGGTGATGATGATGATGGTGGTGATGTTGATGATGATGAAGATGGTGGTGATGGTGGTGATGATGATGATGATGGTGGTG